AGCTGATTCAGAGGTGAGGGCTAAAGTGAGACTCTGAATACAAAGCTCACATGAAGAGATTTCTCAAAGCTATTGGCTCAAAGAAGCTGCCAGCTCTGTGGTTCCACGTGAAAGCAGTTGGTGACAGCCAGGGTTGGTCACTAGAGCCAATAGATGGAAGGAAGAGCTGGATGCAGAGTAGAGGAAATGGGGAGATTAAAACCTACTGGGCAGTTCTACAACTGTCCAAAACAACCTTCAGGGGGCAAGGACTATTTTCTACCAAACTTGCACAAATTCCTCATTGGGTCCTCTCTAATCTGGATCTACACAGGGAAAGAGATCTTGGGGAATGTATTTCCCATATTAACAAAATGGCTAAAAAAAATAATTCAGTACTCACTCTGAACGGCTTCCTAAATTTAGTCAGAAATGTTCTTCAAAGGCTCAGAGCAGATTTTGGAAAGACTTCCTGGTGTAGTTTGTGTGCATGGATAAGCCAAGTCATGAGTCCAGTACCTGGACTGCAAGAGAGCCTTTGTTTGTTAATGTATTAAAGAAGTGTGGATTAGGGAATCAGGAGCACCTAAAGGAGCACTGACCAGGGACCCAGAAGCATTTGAAGAGCCCTGGACAAGGTTTGGATGCTGGCTTCAACTGTGGACCTGGTGCCATCGCTCACTAAATTCATTCCCCACTCACTAGGTCAGGCATCACTCACTGGACTCACACTTACTTTGCCGAGTCACTTAAATCATCTGTGCTTCAGTTTCCTCATCTATACAATGAGGACAGTCACTGCTGAACTGCTGTCTCCATGCTTTCCTTGGAGGAGAAGATTGGGCAAAGCCAAAGCAGTTATGAACAGCTGCTTGTGGAGTGCAGCAACACTAGTCATGCCATAGACATTTGCTCAACTTCCTGCTGCCCTGCTGCAGTTTTGCCTAGGAGGTTTGTGCTTCAGAAAACTCATGGGAAACAAAGACCCTGAACTTTTTCTTCTGAGATCTGTTTCCCAGTGCCCTGTCCTCAGCAGAGCTCCTCTCCCACACCAGGCGGTATGAGGACGGTTGGTTGAGACTCTGAGTGCCTAAGTCTACACTATCCACTGTGCCAAGCTGTTCCTCCACCCCACCCCATGCTCCATCTACTCTTTCTACTTGCCTGAATCCTGCTCCCCAACCATTCCTCAGCCCAAAGGACATTCTCGTCTCCCTGCACTTTTTGTTGACTTGTTTTTTGTTTTGCAGTGCTGGGAATCAAACCAAATCAAGGAGGGCTTGCATGCACTAAGCAAGTGCTTTACCACCGAGCTACATCCCCGCTCCTCAGTGTTTCTGGTCCTTCTCAGCTGGATGCAATTTTTACCTTCCTTAGATCCCTGAGGCTGCTCATCTTTCATTGAAGTTGCCATACTCAGACAATACTCTAATGTATACATTTGAGTACTTACCATTTTCGACTAAATGTCACATTCCCAGAGGCAGAAGATGAACTTTTTAAACTCATGCCACAAAATAAGCAGTTTTGAGCATCCTCCACATTAAAGTCCAGACAGAATTTGGTGCACAAATATTTGTCGAATTGAGTTAAAAGAAAACAAATTGAGTACATGTAACCACATGTTGGTGCTCTAAATGACAGTAGTCTGCAAGGACACTGCTGCCCACAACAAAAAGTGGAAAAATGAAACCTCTATGATCCTCCACCACATGGAATCTATTGTTATGAATTTGGGGATTTCACTCAATGAGCTCCCTCCTCCATGTGGATATGATGATCCCAGAGATAGGACAGTCCAAACAGAAAACAGGGTTCAACCTTATGCCTATGTTAGAGGAAAATGATCTTTGTAGAACGTTACAGTCCACAGCAAGGGATACAAATAGTAAGCAGGGCTGGTGACCCCTCTGTTTAGGTTAGGGCTAGAGCTGTCACTGAGCCACATCCTTTCTGGGAAACAACCCATGCTTCCAAGATAAGGTTTCAAGAGGCTCTTGAGCCAGGAAAATTGTTTAAGCAAGCATCTGTGTCTTTTGTCATGTACTCTCTGGGTTGGTATGGTTCCTTCCTTCAGTCTCAGAACAGTTCCAAAAGCAAAAATGCTGTCAAAAATGCTGTGTTATCTTTCTACCATTGCTGCCTTTTCTGGGCCCCAGTTTCCTGCAGAAGGGAAGTTGAAATAACTCTTAAAGTTTCCTCCCAGCTCTGCTTTTTCAGGACTCTATGCTGGGCTGCAAGCTGAATTCCCAGGGCCCAGGGTGACTGTCCTTGCTTCCTCTGCTTCTAAAAGTATATATGACTCAGTTTTGCCATGGCTCTCTGCTGAGGCGTGCTTCCCTGTTCTCTGGAACAATGTGATTGTGCAGGTGATGACTACATATCTGCCATGAAAAAGTCCCTAAACCCAGAAGTTTCAAGGAGGGAAAACATTATCACAGGCTCTCAGTAGGTCTCTCTTTATTCCAAATGATCTCTGGTTCATCTTATGTGAAAATGTCCATGCCCAAACACTACAGAAGCCAAGAGGCCCCAAGGCTGCCAAGTTATAGGAAGGAGGGTGCTGTACCTGGAACTGTTAACGCTGAAGGCGTGAGGACTGAGTGATAATTGATTTTGTACTGCATAGATACAGACCACAAACAAGCTCAGCCCCATCAAGTGCATCAGCAGGGAGCAGCAATCTTTGTGTTGAAACTCCTATTCACCATCTTCTGGGTGGTTTATTTAATATACGGTGATACTTACTGGTTAGAACACCAATTTTTCAGATTTGGAAGGAAATTGAGATCTCAGTAAGTTCAAACTCTTTTTGACAGATGTATAAGTGGATGCTAAAGTGGGGGCAATGATATAGTAGATTGTGGTAGAATCAGGACCTCTAAATAACAGGTCCATACACCTTAGAGTACTCCAAATAAGAGATCACTAAGATAGTTATTCATTGGATTCTTAATGAGTAACTCAGCTCATGAAGTTACCTATTGAAGAAATCCCCCACAAGCCTCATCCTAAATATATTTAGTCTTCCTTTTTATTAAATTCTTACAAGAGCAGTTTAATTTTATTAAATTCTCACTCAGAACATATAAAAAATCAACCAAAAAGTACAACTACTAGACTGATTGTAAAAAGCAGGAAAAGAATACTACATTAAGGAGTCATACAAACTGCCAAGACATATAGTCTGACAACTTTCCACAGAAGACAATATCACACAGCTCAGTATCCCCAGGAGTTTCCCTTTAATGCTATATCCTGATAGTTGAAACTCATAAGAATGTCCCTGGATCACCAAGAAAGTGTTAGCATGTTTCGTGTAAGAAAACAGAGATTTGTATAAAGCACTTTTCACAAAGAAAGTGTTGCATCTAAAAGATAAAAACTTTAAAAGGTTACGCATAGGTAGACTTTCAGCTCCCTAGAAACTTTGGTTAACCAAAATGACATCGCAGCTGGGTTATTCAAAGTGGTATTTCAGCTCTATGAAGAAAGACACATCCTAGACTAAGGAGGCTACTGTGAATTCCCTGGTATCTGCAGAGAAGAGGAACAAATAGCAAAGCCATGATCTCATTTTCTGTTTACACTTCAATTCCCAATGTTGGTGATTAATTATCCTTGTGTTTTCTTGCCAGGGCAAAATGTTTTTCTTTAAAACGCCTTCTTATTTTAAATAAATAAACCATTAGTTTCAAAACAGAAGTGTCAAATGTCAAGATACTTCTGACATACTCAATTAATGAATGAAACAATGAACTTAATAGAAGCTACTTAGAGATAGACAGGCTTGAAGAACTTTCCTCTAATGACTTACCCTTCTTTGTAAGATTTTCACACGTATCTTACCGAAAGCAACACTCCAAACATTACAAACACAAATACAAGCTTGTAAAAAATCAAGTTAGGTAGAAGATGACAAGACCGGTGGATAGGTCAAGAATTCCTAGTCAAACTAAGTTCACCAGCCAGCTACCCAACATGCAGCCCAAACCAGACTCTCACAGTGAGCTTTAGGCCGTCATCAAGGATCCCTGCTTTGCCTTCCCATTCTTTCAAAGTTGGAAATTCTTTCAACAAGTAGATGATTTTTTTTTTTTTGCATCTTGTCTAAACACACACAAAGATACCATTTCTAGATGAATTCAATATACTTTCTACATTTTAAGGACTACCTAATAAATACAGTTCTGAGTACATGATTTCCTATTGGGAAGTTTTTAATATCTTCCACTTACAGAAGTAATGGTATCTACAGTCAATCATAATCTACTATCTACATATCCATCCCTTGAACAATTTTAACAGACTCCTGACTTCTTATAGTTCTCAGAATGGATATGCACCTTTAGCTCTTGTTAACAAGTATTTACTGGATAAATACCATGTGCCAGGTCCTCTCCCACCCCCTGAGGACATATCTGTAAGAACTGTCTTACTTTCCTATTATTTATGTTCTAGTGGGGATTTTCACCTCCTTCTGAGTACTTGTGACGAAGTGCTTGTCAGGCTACATCACAGAGCCCTTTGTGTCTGCTTTCCTCAGTCTGAGCACTGCTGTCCTGTACACAGCCCTATGTCTTCTCGTTTTCCAGCACCCCCATCTCATGCTGTGTTCAGCGGCTGGCACACAATGAATGACTTGTATTGTGTATAAAGTTTCTTTCTTTGGAAATGTAGTCAATCTCTGTTGCATATAGAATCTGCCTCCAAGATATCTAACTCTTGTTAAATTTTAACCTTGAGTTATTTTCAATAAGTCAGCCATTTGGTTGGGAACAGGAGTGACAAATACCAAGCTATGTCTGAAGAAATGAAACCCAATGAGTAAAACTGAACAGATGAGCGCCTGGACTTAACCTGTCACGTGTCTTTCCTCAAACCCCAGAATGCCTAACCCTCTTTCTTTGAGTTTCCCAGTGTTCCCTCTACACAACCCCTTCCTCTTTTCTCCTGGAGATCAGGAGAGAAGCTGAAACGTGAAGGCACTCATTCTGTTCCCTTTCCCTTTAACCTCAAAGGTAGAAACTGAAGACCAGGTGCTGGCAACCTTCTGTGGGAGGGAGACCACAGACACAGAGCAGACCCCCGGCCAGGAAATGGTCCTCTCCCCTGGCTCCTTCATGTCCATCACTTTCCGATCAGATTTCTCCAATGAGGAGCGATTCACAGGCTTTGATGCCCACTACATGGCTGTGGGTAAGTTGGGGAACTGGGTGATTCACCCCCTGGACTACCTTTCTCTATAAAGAGAAGAACAGCTTTGTGTTCTCGCCTGCATAGTGAACCTCTGTGTGCTCACCACATAGACACTGCCATTCATTTATTACTGCACTCACTCCACCATATATTTATCTATCTGAATTAGTCAGTTTTCCTGCTACCGGGACATAATACCTGACACCCACAACTTAAAGATGCTAATTTCATTCAGGGTTGGAGGATTAAGTCCATGATCTTCTGGCTCCAAGGCAGAAACATCATGGCAGAAGGGTGTGAAAGAATATGAGCTCATGGTAGCTAGAAAACAGAACAAGGGAATAGTGCCAAAGCAGAAGAGACCGAAAACTAAACATAGACACGAAGGCCAGCCTCCATTATCTGCCTACACACATCTACTCATGTCTCCAATAATCCCCCCATGGGGATCCCAAAGCTGATCAGTTTGAAACTCCACCCTAACCACCACGTCATCTACTTATCCTCTACTCATTCATCCATCTATCTTTTTTGATACATTCCAAGTGATTGTAGACATTAGTGCTGTACTTCCTAGATACTTCAGCATGCCTCTATTTTGTTAAGTTCTATAGAGCTTTTTCTTAAGTGTGGAATTTATATTCAATGAAATACACAAATCTTAAGTATACATTTGTTGAATTTTTAAAAATGCAACCCCCTATTAAGAAAATAATTTCAACCTAGAAATTTCCTTCATGCTCCTCCTCAGTCAATCCTTGCTCCCAGTTCCCTTAGACCAAACAATTCTAACTATTTTAGCCATAGATTACTATGCCTGTTATGAGACTTCACATAAATGAACACATTTATGCGAACAATAGACTTAGGGGATGAGGATTCTTTTACTCAGCATAATATTCTTCATTTTGTTGCATGTATCAACAATTTATTCCTCCTCCTGCCAAAGTATCACTGTATTGCTGAATATACTATAAATCTTTTTTATCCATTATCCTATTGATGACCACTTTGTTTCTACTCATTTTTGACTCTGATTAATAAAGTTGCTATGAACCCTCTGGTATTTCTTTCCATAAACATGTTTGCATTTCTTTTGAGTAAATATCGAGGAAAGGAATTAAGGGGGTTTTGAAGTAGTTATGTTTAGTTTTATAAAAAAAAAGTTTATCAGACCTTTTCCAAATCAATGACATCATTTTATATATGTCCACCAAGGCATGGTGTGGCTGCTTCTTATCACCACCAACATTAAATGTTGCCAATTTTTAAAATTTTAACCACTGTGATGGGTAGACAGTGGTAGTTCATTATGGTTTAAATTGCATCCCTGGGTGACTATGGTGTTTGGCATACATAGTCTGGTATGATTTTTGTTCATTCATATGTTCTTTAGGAGATATGTATATTCAAATACCTTGACCCATGTTAGAGGGAAATAAAAAAAGAAGGAAGGAAAGGAAGGAAGGAAAGGAAAGGAAAGGAAAGGAAAGGAAAGGAAAGGAAAGGAAAGGAAAGGAAAGGAAAGAAAAAGAGAGAGAGAGAGAGAGAACATGGAGTAGAAGTTAAAAGCCCAAGCTCTGAAGCCAGCCCACCTGTATTCTCTGTGTCTCATTTTATCATCTATAAAGTGAGGATAGTAATAGTCCTGCTTCCTAAGATTTTTGCCCGGCACAGTAATTACCACCACTGTTAGAGAAATCTTGCCACCATGAGTCAAGTTGACTAGGTTGGAGCCTGGCTGTTTGTTATCTTGAGTAAGTTGCCTAACTACTCAAAGTTCTGGTTTCCTTGCTTGTGAAAGGAAGATAATGGGCCTTGCACAAAGACAAAATGAGAGAAAGCGTGAACCTCTTGACAATGAGTGAGCACCTCACTAAGTGCTCTATGCGTGTTAGTTCTCATCTCCAGCATCATGCATGCATTGATTGACTGAAAGATACCTGCCCTGCAGATGTGGATGAGTGCAAGGAGAGGGAGGACGAGGAGTTGTCCTGCGATCACTACTGCCACAACTATATCGGTGGCTACTACTGCTCTTGCCGTTTTGGCTACATCCTCCACACAGACAACAGGACCTGTCGAGGTAAGGCTTGGGGATAATTCTGTACACGGCTATGATGTGCTACATCTTCCAGTATGAAGCTCAGAGGAAAGACAGAGACAGAGTAGGAACAACTAAAAATGAAGTTGAAGATGCAGCTTGGATACCACATACATGGAAATGCTGAGATGCACACCCAGCTTGGAAACCTGAGCTTCAGTTCTCCAAACAGTGCATGAGAGAAGCTTTGAACATTAGGCTATCTTTATTTCTTTATTCCTGGGCAGTATTGCTGCTCCATAGATCCCTGACTCTACCCCTACTGTAGGTAGTCAACCTGGACAAGTTTGGGAGAAACCTGGGTTTCAGAGTCTTTGCTTTCTGAGCCATAAACTATGCTTCCTAGCAGTTCCTTTTTCTCTTTGCTTCTATGGCCCTTATATTCATCTATGGAAAAGAGAATCTCAGTCTAAAGGAAAAAATGAAAGAAGCAAAGATGGACACAGCAAGAAAACTCCACATTCCTCCTCTCCTTCTTTGTTTTCATCTCACACTGGTGGGGCTCCTATCCTGTAGTCTTGGGCTAGAGCAGGGACACAGAAATGGAAGGTGTATGAGTCATCTTTACTTTTAATGGGACACCATGTCCAACACCCACAATTTAAAGGAGGAAAGGCTGGATTTAGCTCATGGTTTTGGAGGTTTCAGTCAATGGTTGGTTGGCTCCAATGTGAAAAACAGCATGATAGAAGGATATGGAGGAGCAAAGCTGCTTAGTTTATGGTGGCCCAGAAGAAAAGTAGGGGAAGCAACACCAGAGGGGAAGGACCAGATATAGCTAAAACCACACCTCCATGACCCAACCAGACACACCTATGCCAACCCCACAGACAAACAAGTGACTATTCCACCAACACAAGGGTTTAGCCACTTTGCAGGAGTGGTCCCCTTTTAAAGGGGTGATAGCTACATAAGAGGGGTAATAGCCACATACACAAATTGTTAGATGCAGCAAATGTGACCTTCACTACATTTATACAAAGAAAGTGTGGATGTAGCACAATCAGACCTGAGCTGGCCTGGAGAGGTGGGCAAATGCTTCCCACAGATCGTGTCCCTTGGCAGGGATGAAAGACTAGGAGAAGGAGGGGATTCCATCCAGGGACAACAGCTTCTGCAAATGTTTTGAAGTGTGATCCAATGTGGGACATTTGGGGAACTCCCAGGAGCTTAATGTGATCCAGGGTGAAGGCTGTCACTTGAAAGCTACATCAGCAATCACTGGAAGAGAGCAAAGCTAGAGACAGAGCTTTCTATTTCTTTCAAAAAGTGCTACTTGTTTCTACATAAAGCCTATCTTACCTATCAGTATAAAGCAGTATAAGACAGAAGAAACATACAGGATTAGAGAGGTTTATATTTTATGTTATTTTATGCAGTAAATATTAAGTATATACTATGGGCTGTATAGACCAAGGCCTACAAAAGCTGACGTAGAGAAAGGCTCCTCAATTTTTTTCACTCCTGCCCCAGGATCCTCCCTTTTATCGGTACCACAAATATGCTGTACATGTGTTTATGAACTAAGTGTCTACCTATGCACTGTACATAAGATTAGGACCTTTCCTCTCCAGGACCAGTCCTGGCCCTTTGGGGATGAGGATTAGCCCCATGAGAGTGCTTGTGGTCGAAAAGGAAAACAAATGAGGATTCAAGATACCTCAATCTAAACCTTCTGCAGCCCACAGCTGTGGGACTTTCAGTTAGTCATGCCTCTCTCGCTGGGCTACAGTTTTCTCCTTTGCAAATGAGCAGGGATGAACAAAGACTTGGAAAGCATGAATATGTAGCACTTGCATGGGTCAGCCCGAAGGCAAAAGTTCAACAGCAAATAAAGGCTCTTCACATGGCCATGTCATGGCCAGCTTCCCAGCACACTGGGCTCTTGGTGCAGTAAATGAAAAGGCAAACAAAGCTGGCCTCATAGAACTCACAGTCTAGTGGGAGCAAGGAAATCAACAAATGAATGTGACATAATGCCCGGTAGTAGACAGCACTGTGAAAAAAAAAAAAAAAGAATGGCAGGGTTGAGAGTGAGGGTCCTGTATTAGATGGAAATCAAGGAAGGATCTGAACAAGACCTAAATGAAACTGGGCAAAGGGAAAAACAAGGCTAAACAGAGTCAAAAATCCCCCATGACCACTCCATCTCAAAACTCTTCTTTCTTAGGGTCCCTACCTGCCCCCCACAAGCGCCAGAGAATCCAGTGAGAAGGGTTGTCACATGGTTAAACAGCTCTGGGTAGAGGCTTAGAAATTCTGCATTGGAGTCTTGACTGCAGCTTAACAGGCATACACCACTCTGGTTAAATCATTTCCCTTCACGGAGATTCAGTTTTCCATTTGTGAAGTGGGGATGCTGATTCCTTCCCTGCCTACCTCATGGGACCATGAGCAAAAGCACACAGTGACAGACAAGCAAGGGTTTGCTGCTGCCCTGGCCCCGGTGTGCCATCTTCCCCATATGTTTCCCACAGTGGAGTGCAGTGACAACCTCTTTACCCAGAGGACCGGCCTGATCACCAGCCCCGACTACCCCAACCCTTATCCCAAGAGCTCTGAATGCTTCTACACCATTGAGCTGGAGGAGGGCTTCATGGTCAGCCTGCAGTTTGAGGACATTTTTGACATTGAGGACCATCCTGAGGTGCCGTGCCCCTATGACTTCATCAAGGTGAGCTTGCAATGGACACTTATTCTGGGGATGCTGGGAATTCTGGACTGCACTGGGAAAATTGACATCATGGGCTTTTCATATTCTCCCAGGATAGGGATTCAAGCAGCTACTCCTCCCACCTGCAGTTACTTAAAATAACAGTTACCAGCTTAATCAGATCCAGTCTAAGGACCTTTCCCGACACAACACTAGCTCCCTGGCCACCAGGGTGCTTTGAATTAGACAGTCACAGGGACAAGTGTGCACTCTGGAAAGAACGCTTGGAGGTAGACTCAGTTCATAGGTGTGTGGCCTGTGTGGTCACCTAGGACCTTAGAACAGCCTATGCACTAATGTTCCACGGTTGCCCCCTTCTAGTTCTTAATACAAATTGAACAAGGAGTCCCCATTTTCATTTTGCACTGGACCCTACAATTATGCAGCTCGTCCTGCTTTGGGAAGAGGCTGTATACCAGGCAAATAAAGAAATTTAAAAATGCCACGGGCCAGTAACTATTCAAATTGTGACTATCCCAATAGTATAGTGGAGAGGCATGGCTGGGATAGAAGGAGAAATTTTTTTAGATATGTAGGAAGTAAAATCAGCAATTTTTAGAGAATGACCAGCTGAGACATCCAAGTGAAACTGAATACTGGGGTCTGAGCTCAGGAGAGATGTTGAGCTGGGAAAAAAAATGGGTCCCATCACATGCATAAAGAGGTGCTGTGTAAACCATGTGAATGTGGGGAGAGCCGCCCTGAGGATGAAAAAGATGCAAGCTACAACACAGTAAGTTCAAAGAGGTCCACCAGAGAAGGGGACCTCCCAAAAGAGGTCAAGAAGAGCCATAAAATGAGACATAAAAAAGAAGCTGTCAGTAATGGGAGAGGCAGAGATAGCTAAGAATCTGTGAAAGGAAACTCAAGAACTTAGAACCTGGACTGCCCTGGAATTAGATTCAGAGGCTAAGATGCAGTGTGGCTGCAGGTGGGGTGGCAGAACAAAGGGCTTAGGTTGTTACTGCTGTGTGGTTGACTGCCACCAACATAACAGCTTACAACAATTCTCACTACATTGTTCCGTAGATCACAAATAATAGTGGGCTCAATTGGGTTCTCTACTTTGGGTCACATGAAATAGAAATCAAGGTGTCAACTGGACAGGGCTCTTACCTTGAGGGTCTGCAGAAGAATCCACTTCCAAGTTTGTTTATATTGTTGGCAGAATTCAGTTCTTTGCGGTTGTAGGACTGAAGTCGCATCTTCTCGCTGATTGTCAGCAAGTGTCTCTCTCAGCATCTAGAATGTGCTCTCAGGTCCTTCTGTGTCACTTCTTCAAAAATCTCTTCTGCTAGGGACTCGTAATATAATCACATTGTGTTATAATATAATCACAAAGCAACATCAGGTATGAACATCATAGGGATCTTTTAAAAATCCTGGTTATCACACATGGTGTCCCAGGAGCTTTGTATGGGAGCATCATTCCGACACTTCACATTTTGAGGTTCACTTTTCCTTCTTCTGCATGATAAGAGAAAGATGTCATTTGGGATTGTAGAAGTCGTCAAATTCCAGCTAAGGAACCCTGGTCCTCAGAGACAAAAGGAAAATGGCTCAAACATACAGAAAGGACCCAGGACTAGTGGTTGGGGATTCTGGGTCAGTTATTGATTTCTTCCCTTCTACATTGCATCCATCCTAATCCAAACCCTATTGCCTCTCTTGCTCAACTGTAAAACTTCCCAACTGGTTCTCCTGCTTCTGACCTTACTTTATGATTGCTTTTCCCATAGCATCCAAAGTTATAATGACTCAACCATGATTGCACTTGGAATTAAACCTAAATTTCTCAACATGGTGTGGTCCTCACCTGCCTTTCCTACCTCATGTCATGCCACTCCCTCAGGCCCAGCCACCCAGCTTCCTTCCTCCCGAGCTCATTCCACCTTTGCCCTTGACCTTTGCATATGCTGCTTTCTCTGGCTGGAAAGTGCTTCTCCTACTCTTCACACAACAGGCTGTCACATCAGTGTCACCTCAGCAGAAGGCCTTACCTGACCACCTATTTAAAGTTGTCAGCTATTATGTTACTGTCTACTGTATCAGTGATGGATTCTATAGGTTATATAGATTTTAACCAATGAATTTTAAATATATAGTGTATATTTCTACCATATAACAGGCTACAATTATTTTGTGGGTCATTTATTGTTGATCTCCCCCACCTATACTGCAGGTCCAGAGAAAGCAGACCTGTTTTGTGTGTTGGACAAGGCACTGTCCTTCTCTGAGCCACAACTCATTCATCATTAAGCAGATTATTCACTTGGCCTGTCCACTGCCAGGCCATTGTAAATTCTAAACAAGACAGTAGAAATGAAACTGTGTGGTGATTGGCACAGCCCACTAGGAGCACAAGTGGATGCTGTTGATTCCCATCACGGTTTCCAGAAAACCCGAGTGCAGTGCAGCAGCGTTGCCCCTCTGCCGATCAGATGTAACTCTTCTCTTTGCCTAAATTGCTTTTCTTAGATTAAAGCTGGCTCCAATGTTTTGGGGCCCTACTGCGGGGAGAAGGCACCAGAACCCATCAGTACTCAGAGCCACAGTGTCCAGATCCTGTTCCACAGCGACAACTCAGGCGAGAACCGGGGCTGGAGGCTGTCATACAGGGCTGCAGGTAACCTCTGTCCTGCTAGGGGCTACTGAACCACTGTGCTCGGCTCTCATAAGGAGGGAGGTTACGGGAGGACATGGTGCAGCTCAGGACTCTTCTGGGGACCTGGTGGGATTCCTGGCTGGGTAAATTGGAACCGAGCCACATGTTCCATCCTCACTTAGTTTCCCACTGATAAAAGGGGGTCAAGGGGAGCAGTGATGTTATGTTTGGATTAGATTGGTAGTTTTCAAACTGGCTGTACTTCAGCATTGTGTGAGCAGATTAAAAAGAGAAATCTTGTTTCCTGAACCCTACCTTCACACCCTCACATGGTGATTCATTAGGCCTGCAGAGGGGCTTCTAGCTCCAGCCTTCTCTAAATCTGGGACTGGAATTTGGGTGTGGTTTGTAGCTGGAATGTGTGATTACTGTGGTTTACCTCCCTGTAGGCCCCTAGACTGGCAAGGCACAAAAGTCCCACTTGTAATGTTCCAAAGCAGCCAGTCCTGGCCCAAACTCTGATAGAGCCATTGGACCCCAGAGTTCTGTACACCCAAAAAGAGGGTGGGCCTCAGCTCAGCACGACTGGTCTGTTTCATAGACCCTGAGACCCTGGGTCTGTCTGCATTGTCTCACCTAATACCCATTCCAGGGACAGGAGTGGAGAGAAATTAACAAAAGAGCGTCTATCTAAGAAAAAGTATTGGAGGTAGACTGAGGCCCAGAAGCTTTTGTCATAGTTTGCCTTTAAAGAGAGGACTCAGAAACATATGATCACATCTTTAATGCTTTGAAGAACCGGTGTGGGAAGAAAGGCTAATTGCAATCATCCTGGGTAGCCCAGTGACTAAAACGTACAAGGGCACAAATTTCAGCTGAACAGGAGAACAATGTTCATTTAACCAGAGGAAGCCATGAATGGAAGGTGCAGGTATGGGAAGGACTAAGCTCCTGGTTGCTATAGGAGTGCAAATAGACATCAGGTGTCAGCATGGAGGACATTGCAAAGAAAACATCAGACAAGGGTTGCGTTCAATGGCCTTTACTATTCCTTGCAACCCTAAGTTTGAATGAAATCATTTGGCCAACCATCTTGTTTTGCCATTATGGAAATGAAGGGGTTGGAAACTGACTTGCTCCTGGCTTCAAAGCAAGTCTCCTGTGGGGCCTAGAAAGCCCTCCAATACCCAGTTCTGTTGCTCCCACCTCATCAGCCCTTGCTTTCTACGGGTTTGTACTTCATGGCAGTCCTTTCCTTGTTTCATCACCCGCTGTCTTTTCATTTGCTTCCCACCAGGAAACGAGTGCCCAGAGCTACGGCCTCCTGTCCATGGGAAAATCGAGCCCTTGCAAGCCACGTATTCCTTCAAAGACCAAGTGCTCATCAGCTGTGACACAGGCTACAAAGTGCTGAAGGTGAGGAGAGGCCAGGCCAAGGAAACTCTCCAGAGCCTTCCACAGCAGATGGGCTGCTGGAACTTGCCATAGTGCTAGCGTGGCATTTCCTAGCCACTCTATAAGCCTCCCAAATGCTCCTGCATTTTAAAGCCTATGTCCCAGGCTTCTTTCACTTCTAGAACTGACACCAAAGTCTTTTATCAGAGGATGGGTTGGCTAGACTTTTAAAAGCTTCAGTCCATATAACTCTACAATCAGGTCTCAGAACTGTAACATAGTTCACCAGGCCTATAAGAGCAGCTTGGGTATTGAAAAGGGAAACAGGGATTTTGAAGGAAGCAGACAGGCATTACTTAATCCTCACTCTTTGAAATACTGGTTCTTCTAGTTAAATATACTGGTTACTCTCCTGATCATTATAAAAATATAGATTTACATCTACTAACTCCTCTCCCTTCACACCCAAGTGATTTCAGTGCAAGACCTGTGTGGACTACAATTTTAGAAACTTACATGGGGTAACAGCGACAGAGAAGGGAAGAAGAGGGCTGGAACTGGCTTGAGAGTAGGAAGTCGAGAATTAGGTTTGGTCCCACTCATCCCCACTTCATGACTTTGCATGCAAACATCAGTGTGCTGTCCTCTTCTCTTCCCCCAAAACTGCTCCTACCAAAGAAGATACTGGTAGACAAGAAGGCCTCCTTGAAGCAAACTCTGGGCAGAATTTGGAGGCAGAACATGCCTTTCTTTTTCATAAGATAATGTGGCTATAGTCAGTACCCAGTGTGGTAAAAGAAAGGCATTTTATGGCTTAAAAAAAGTTTCAACTAACATTTAATGCGTGCCTGAGCAAATCAACTACAGGAGTATCTTCAGATCAACTACAGGAGTATCTCTGGGACTGGATCTATGCTGGGCACGTTTTATATATTCTCCAAGTGAATGTAAAGTGCAGTCCAGCTAGAGAAGCACTGATCTCTATGGCTCTCCAAGAAGGGCCCCTGGACTAGCAGCCTCAGTATCTCCTGGAAACTTGCAGGAAATGCAAATTCTTAAGTAGATCAACCCGCTGAATCAGGGATTCTGAGGCAAGGCCCAACAGTCTGTCTTAATAAGCCCTCCGGGTGAGGCTGACTGCTTGTTCAAGTTTGAGACCAGTGTTCTGAAACAGGAGTTGTAGCAGGCCCTTTCCAGATGTCATCTCCATCCAAGAAGGTTATATTTGTAATCCCATGGAGAAATTATTGGTATTCTAGTGAGTTAATTCCAATCTACCACTTCCAGTGCAACCCATGGTGAGAATAAAGACACTAAGGCATATTTGTATTTGTGGGGAGTAAAGGTATCCTAAGCCCAGCTAGGGTAATGGTTAACCCTGGACCCAGGGCCAAACCCAGGTTTTATTCAGGGAGAAGGGAGTGGCTTGAGGATCAGTGACTGTGAGAAAGGTGGGAAGTAGGTGAGTGCTGTGAGCTGGGCTAGGTAGGAGGCATGCCATGACCTCTGCAATATGCAGAGATAAGGATATGAAGAAAGAGGAATCTGCATAACACAACTGAGGTAGTAGCTAATGTTTGGGGGTCAGTGCTTCAGCTCTGATGTTCAATTTTTTATGCCCTAGGAAGTCATAGCCTCTTATCTCGAGGCTTTCCATCCTGCTCTGGCCATACCTATTTTATTTGGGAGCTATGGGGGGCAGGGGACCCTTCCTTGTCTTTGCTTTAAAGACTACACATCAGCACCTCCACTGGACCTATTTGCATCGCTTAAAGCCAATTACAGGGATAAGAAAAAGTCCTAGCCAGCTCTGTACATGTCAGTACATGGAAATAGGGCCAGGTTTAGCCACAATGGAGATAATTGCTCTTCTTTCAAGAAGAGTCAACCAGACAGCCCTCCACAAGGAGTCAAGGCTAGGCTTTCTCTTTCTAAACAATTGCCCCAGACCCTCAAGCTCACGGCCATTTCCCCTTTCCAGAGTATAAACTGGGACATGGAATTTGTTGTCTACCTTACCCTGCTTCGCAAGCTTGACCTTGGAGATCCATGTATGGAAAATCCCTGTTGAGTTTAGCCACATTTGGAGTATGAATTATTTTTGCTGGAAAACAACCACTGACCCCACTCCCTCTTTTTTTCCTCTGTCGTCTTCTGGTTTTCTCTCAGGATGATGTGGTGATGGATACATTTCAGATTGAGTGTCTGAAGGATGGGACATGGAGCAGCAAGATACCCACCTGTAAAAGTAAGAAAACCAAGTGGGTTCATCATAAGGACAATGAATTTGGCTGGGAGCAGAGACCAAGGCAGGGCAAAAGCTTGGCAGGAGCTCTCTACAAGGGACACAGGCAGGAACTTAAGAGACCCATGAAAGCTGGGCAAAAAGAACACTACTGCCCCTTCTGCAACAAGACACAGGACCCCAAAGCAAACTTTTGTGGGCCCCAGTTTACTTTCTAAATATCAGTTTTTACCTCAGTCTCCAGAAAGGTTGCCAAACTTGCAAAAGGAATAGCATTGTTGCCAGATTTGAAATGAGCTATGGCAATTGCTAATTCAGGAAACCTGTGTGGCCCTGGTCCCAAGACCTGAGTCATCCTTTAGTCTACATGGCCACCCTCTCTATCCACTGAGTCCTCTGGGTAAGCTTGTGATTTAGGGCTGCATGGATGCGGCTGTTGGGTCAGCACAGTGGCTCTATAGGAAGCAGGGCGATACAGCTATTTACTTGTTCTTGAGACCTAGGGCTCATGCTTTGGCTCTCTTTTTGACTCCCTCTTTGACCATGGACAAGATCTTTTGTCTCAACTTTAAAATAGCTTGTACTAGCTTTAACATTCTAGAATGTATGCCAATGATTCTAAAATAATATAGTCTGTATAAATCCTCTCCTGATCATTGTAAAAATATAGATTTACATCTACTAACTCCTCTCCCTTCACACCCAAATGATTTCTGTGCAAGACCTGTGTGGACTACAATTTTAGAAACTTACATGGGGCAACAGTGATGACATGAGGTGTAGCGACAGAGTAAGTCAGAGAAGGGAAGAAGAAGGTGGGAATTGGCTTGAGAACAGGAAGTCGAGAATTAGGTTTGCTCCCACTCATCCCCACTTCATGACTTTGCATGTAAACATCGGTGTGCTGTCCTCTTCCCTTCCCCCCAAAATGCTTCTACCAAAGAAGATACTGGTAGAAAAGAAGACTTCCTTGAAGCAAATTCCAGGCAGAATTTGGAAGCATAATATGCCTTTCTTTTTCATATGACAGTATGGCTATAGTCAGTACCCCTTGTGGGAAAAGAAAGATATTTTATGGCTTTAAAAATGTTACAACTAACATTTAATGCATGCGTGAACAGAGTTCTATTGAGAATCAGGTGGGAAGAGAAGGTCCAAGCAGGAGGAACTCAAACACTACCCAACCCAGCTTAACATATGGTGCTGTTAAGGTCCTAAGCCAGGCACTCTGGGATAAAGCAAGAGTCACTTTGAAGAAAACAAAGGAAGATTTGAGATGTTCAGGGCCGACTCTCTCTCTCTAAAGTCATGAAGCACCAGATTCAAAGGCAGATCCTATGAGTTGGATGTCCCTAAAGAACCAACTCAGATTCTTTTGGCCCCAGTCTCCTGACCTCAAGATTTTTCTGAGGACTAACCAGGTTAATATACATACCATACCACACCTCCAGAGGACCAAGAATGAGTAATGCTCAGTACAAGTTTATTTCTCTCTACATCTGGCCCAACTCACTCATTAGGAAGACGTTTAGTGTCTCTCTCATTTGCCTTTTTGGAAAGTAGGGGATGCTATTAATATTTTTCCCTGATGACACACATGTTTTTTATTAAATGGAAGCACTGATAGAAGCATGGCACAGCTGTAATGGAAAGTACTATTTTTGTGACTTATATTAGGATGTAATAGAATACTCTGTCCTTTTAAGAAAATATGACCTTAGGGCTACAGCTCGGTGGCGGACCACTTGCTTAGGATGTGCAAAGCTCTTGATTGAATTCCCAGCACTGAAAGGAATAAAAAGGGAAAGAAAAGAAATAAAAAATCACAAAGAAGAAAAAAGAAAGAAAAGAAAATATGACCCTACTTCTTCAAGGTGGGCTGAGAGTCCCAGAGATTCTAGGGGAAGGAGCTAGGAATAGACAAGAAATGCATAATGTGTAATAAATATGTGTCCACCAGAAGAGGAAGTGGCAACCTTGCATTGTTTTCTTGGCCTTACCTCCACCTTGATGTAAAGACAAGTCCCGTAATACTCTGAATGCTATCTGTCGCATGAGAACTTGGACCTGATGAACACAAACTTCCAGACAGGGGAAAATTTCATAATGCTCTCCCAAGGAGCCAAGGAGCATGACTGTGCAAACTCTAGAATGGTACAAATTCAACAATCCCAAACTGTCCTTCCCACTGGCTATCCCTAAACTGTGCATTCTTAATCAATTCTGCTGATGTGATTTCCATGTTTCCTGCATCAACTATTTCTGCTTGGCTTGCTAATTTTTCTCTTTCTCTTCTTTGTCTCTCTCTCTCTCTCTCTTCTTCTCTCTGATTCCTTCCTCTGTCTCCTGACTCCACTCTGACCATGGTGGCAGAAAGCGAGATTGATTTGGAGAGCGAGCTGCAGGCAGAGCAAGTGACAGATGAATGATGGGAATCCCACACAGTGCAGACATCCAGGAATGGATCCTTCTCAAAGACCCCGAGTCCCAGAGCTACTTCACCCTTCCCCACCCGCCAACACTCCCTTGCCCATTTTGATGTGGATCAGCATGGATGCTGAACTAAGCCATACAGCCCAGCAGTTGAAGCTGCTGGGTGTCTGAGAGCAAATTACCCTCTGGGGGTTTACTCAGTATTCAAGCATTGCTTCAGAAAATAAGGAAAAGACAATGACAATATTTTTAGGCTCTCTAAATGGGTTATACTCTTCTCAAAGCAAAAACACCTTCCGTTGGAAACACAGGATTTCACATACCATCATGCAGCCTTTGGCCAACCAGATCAACACGGGCCTTGGTTTCTAATCCATTCCACACTTCAGGTTGAAACGACCCAGAATGCTTATGACTTTATCACTTTAAAATTTCTATCTATTGTTATTTGCTTAATAACCAGGAATAGGTAAAATGAATAATAATCCACATAGTATGGATTTGGGGAAATCTGAATATTTTCTCATTCACAAAATATCCCTTCTTCTCCTACTTCACACAGGGCTGAAAGTCTATCATTAGGGGTTCTTTCCTCTGGGGTTTGCAAGCTTTGTGTTTCTTAGGATTTGTTGATTAAAGACTGAAATGATAGGTATCACCTGTGAAAGCAGTGGGCCTCAGCTCGGGAACTGTGGACGGTGCTGTGTCATAAATGACGAAGGGTTGAGGAACAGCAGCCTGCACATCAGAAGCTCTGTTCCAGCCTACATGAGGTCTGGACACACATTTCTGAGGACCTTTGCATTAGACTGTAACTCTCCAACCTACCCGATGAGCAATTGGATGAGTCTGGAGGGTGAGGTGCCATCCTCGCATAGGGGTACCACTGGCTACTGATGACCAAGGCCAGCTGAAAAAGTGTTTGTGAGCCCACACAGCATTAACAGACACCATATTCACTGTGATAGGGGGAATCATAATGGAAGAGGGAGATTTGATACATGCCCAAGTAATTGCAAATACCAGGCAACGTAAGACAGGTGCCATCAGGGCAACATGCAAAAAGAGTTCTATAGCAAGGGGGCTGCCTTGTCCAGTCAGAAGAATTAGAAATGGTTTTCAGGAAGAAGTAGTATTGGATCAAAACCTGAGGGGTGATCACATGGACATGGCAGAGGCAGCAGAAAGTAGCACATGGAAATGTCATTGATATTGAAGTGTGTGGGGGGACAGAAGGAGATGAGGCGGGGAAGGAGCATGGGCCCCAAACCCTGATCCTGAGAGACAATGAGAGCTGAATCTGTGTAGTTCTGTACAAAGGCCCCAGGCGGTGGTAAAGCGTGCTCAAAAGTGCAAGCTAAGGATAAAAGGCAAGCAATGATAGTGGTGACATACTAGAGGATAATGAGCAAAGAAGGTCAAGGAAATGGCAAAGAACAGGCATTTTTGTTAGGTTTGGCGCCAGACAGAGCAAGAGACAGAAATAGATAAAATAACCCTCTATTGCCAGAGTGGGAGGGTTGCAGGAGATTGCAAGGACCCTCTGAGGAGGGAGCTGAGGAACAGGTTTTTATTAGATTGGTGGAGTTAATATGGGCAGGCTATGTGTCGTATCACAAGGGGATTGGGAGTTAGTTGGCGCATGCGCAAAAGGGAGTAGGAAGTTTACCTCGGGTCTGAAGAAAAACAAAGAAGTGTGTGTCCCGGCCAGAGCCATTTTGGGGATTCTGGGTGTCTATCAATTTTGATTCCAGGGTACGGAAGTTACCAGAGAAAGCTTTACAAAAAAACTGAGGAGACCCTTCCTAAAGCGAGGGTAGATGAGAAACAGCAGCTGACGTGTATTGGTTGTATCAGGCAGGATGAGGGCCCTAGTCAAGGGAAGTAGCATCCAAGTCCCAGAAGGAGATGGTTGTTTGCCTGTTGTTGTACCTGGGGGAAGAAGGTGCACCCTTCCCCATTCACTGTAACTATATTGACATGACCCTCTGTTTTCCAGTGCTTACCAATCTCTCTCTGGTCGTAGAACCAGCTCTGTTAGTGAGTAGAATCACTTCCCTGGAGCCATGTGAAATCATGCCCTGTACCAGGAAAATATCTCCCCATCTACCCCAGCCACACAAGTCCAAGGCTAGGCCTGGAATTCATCCACTAGGAACCAGGCTAGGTTCTCAAGGATAGATCTCAAGACTAATTTAGACCAAAGGAACTGCTAGAAGATATTAAGAGAGACAAGAGCAATACCAATATCTAGGCACTGGACAGTGGCATTTCCTAAAGAAGAGGAAAAATCTGCCTTGAGTCTCAGCAGGAAAATAAATTTAAAATTATTTATAGTTTCAAATAGTAATACCTCTTTTAGTTTGGTATTAACCTTAGCATTCACTTCACAAACTAGAAGGGTGTCTCTACTTTTGGGTGACCAAAGCAAATGAAAATGATTAGTCCAGAGAGGTTAGAGGCCAGAGAAAAAATCCTTGTTTGTTTGCCTGTTTCTTTGTTTATTTGTTTGTTTTGTAGTTTGTGTGTATTTTGGCTTTTGCCATCCTTGAAGATAAGAAGAACCTACGTTTTACTACTTTCCTTTATGCCTTTTCTCCAAATTATAGGGTCTTGAAACCTTACATATTTAAATTAGACAGCTCTCTAAAGATGATAAAGGTGAATTAGAAACCCTAAGGTTAAAAGCACCATGTTTACTTAGCCTGTAGGAGTAAATTGCTCCTGTTTCCTAAGGGGAGAAGGTGAAATCAGGAAGAGGTAAAACTTTAGAAATTCCACCAGGACTCTAGAAAGACTGACAACTACTGTCCACCACGAAACCAACTAACATCTAATATAGGCCATTTAGCAGAAAAACAGATCCTTAGAAAATCTCAGCACCATTTCCTAAAAAGGCACTGAGTTCAAGATCAAATCTAGTGCCCACTCTAACTCATTGGCGACCTTAGACGAGTCAAGTCTCCTCTCTGGGTTTATCCGCAAAATCAAGAGGATATTCTAGATTACTTACCTAGAGTCCCCTTCCATTTGTGAAATTCTACAGTTCCCCTCTGATTCTTCAACTCTGCCTTAGACTGTTAACACCTAAGGTTAAGAGAAAGAAATGAGCGTCAATTCTTCTTCCTAAAGGGGGTTCCTGAAAACACATTTATAAATCAGGCCTTCAGCCTCTAGTACGGTCATGAAAAGATGCCCTGCATCTGGGCTGACTCAGGCCAGACTCCCTGAGAACTGCCTAGACTGGCAAGCTCCCCAAAACCCAAGGCTGAGAAGCAGGCATCTTTGGTTCTGTTCAGTAGTGCGAGTACAGCCAACTCCAGCATCCAGCCACCACCAATTTGAGAAAATGAGAGGGTGTAGACCCTGACCTTCTTCTACCGTCTATGGCCTAGCAAGCTATCAGTAGAGCCAGCAGAGTCTGAAAGTCTGGCTGTCTACTCATGCAGGAAGAATCTGGGGTTTTTGTTTGTTTGTTTGGTTGGTTGGTTGGTTATTGTGTGCTTGTGTGTGTACCAAGCTCCAGTGCAAGCAGTTTAACTGCTCTTATGTAGCCTGTTGTTGGGACTAAAAGGGTGGAAGTTTTTTTGGTTCATGTCACCCAGAATTTTCTTTCTGAGTCATGGGTTTCAAGCTTGGGCAAAAGAAGCAGAGGAGATTACAGAATAAAACTGAAAACTGAAGAAAGGCTATGATACAGAGGAGATGGGGGTTCTCCTTCAATTTCATCAGACCTGTCCCTGCCCTAACAGTGACCTCATGCCAGGTGAGTTGATCATATAGTAGTAACATAATGGAAAAAACCCAAAAGCAGGGCCACTAGTGGCTGTACAGGTTGTACACTGTATAATCCCATGAGCACCACCCAGATTTATCATTATAAGGTTGCTCTATCAGGGCTCCAGAAATATATTTAGCTACCATAAATTTTCCCAGAATTCTGGATATAGTGATAACTCATGTGCAGTACATAACCTCCACATCTGTATAAGACAGATCGGTCAGATGGCACTAAGACAATGAGCACAAGGCAGTTAAGGGGTCTTACTTCTCTCTCAGTTGTAGACTGTGGAGCCCCAACAGAGCTGGAGCATGGGTCGGTTACCTTCTCCACGAAGAACAATCTCACCATTTACAAATCTGAGATCAGATTCTCCTGCCAGCAGCCCTACTATAAGATGCTTCATAACATCACAGGTAAGCCCTCCATCCTCCTACTTCCTGTCTTCTGGGCTTCAGAGTTAGTCTGGGAGTTGGAACAGCTCTTTAGGAATAGCTGCTCATAAGTCTGTGGGACTTTGAAATGCACAAAGTATGTTCTCACACACCATCTCATCCGATGCTCACTTCCCATGAGCCAGGGTTAACGGTCCATTTAGAGATGCAGACACTGAAGTTTGGGACCAAAACCCAGTTTTCTTTCCTTTTAATTTTAAATCTAACACTGATTCTACTGATGAGTATAGATCTGGTTGATGGAGCATGACTCAACTAAGACAAGAAATAAGCGTTCTCCCAAAATAAGTGCATTCATATGGTGTGAGAGTGAGCTGGGGATTCCAGGAAATGAACAGGGTTGCTACTTTAGATAGTCTTTGTCGCAGCTTCTGGCCAAGTATAATGTCTAGCCTCATCAGAGCCATTTAGCAGGCCTTGAAGGAGTCTTTCAAAGACCTGTTCTTCTGGTAGGCACCGGGCCCAGGTGGAATAGGGGAGTGAGAAGCAGATCTGTCTCTTGTCCAGTGGCTCAGTACATCCCCTGACCAAGACCTGAGCACAGCTGCTGCTGTCCTCATCCAGACCTCATCCTTGCCACTGAGCAGGGAGACCCAGGCTGCCCCAGGCATTGGGCAGAAGTACAATGGGCCAAAGGGTGAAGAATCACTAATAACTAGACCATTGGCCACTGCGAAGGTTTGGAGGAACCGGAAGAACTACTTGGAGACACGCCCCACCTCTCCCAAGAGTGCGCCTTTGTGCCAACCCAACAGCTACCACACACTCAAAGTCCCCAGCAGAAAACAAGGCCTCAGAAAGATAGGAAGTCCCTTGCACTTTGCCTCTGTGGTGTACAAGCACTAGAAAATGCCTCCCAGCTTTTCTAAGTCTTCACATCCCCACTTTCAACAAGGAAATGGTGATAGAGTTCACAGAGCTATTGCGAGATCCCACAGGACCACAGACACAAAGGTGGCTTATTGCAGAGTTTAAATGAAAAAGGGAAGGTAGGGTACATGTACTTCAGAGAGCTGGTGAACCAAGGCCTCTCTGACTAATGAGCAGGAAGCACCTGCTGGGGGTCAGGGGCAGCCCTCGCATACCCTGGAGTCAGACTGTGCAGAACTTTGCTGAAGAGGATGGTGTTCATTTGTGAAGGCTGTCAGGATTCACCAGAAATTCTGAGCTGTGGAGGGACTTGGTCAGATTCCCATTTCAGGCAGACCCTTCAGGATGTAGGGAGAACCGACTCAGAGCAAGTAGTATGAGAGAACGTTTGGAAGCCTTTTGCAAAGTGAGATTTGATGGGAAAAACTTAGAACCCAGTTGTATTCTCTGTGTGCTACAGATCAATCATTGACTTTCTCTCCTCTCACCATTTCTCCCTCATCCAGGAATATATACCTGTTCTGCCCAAGGGATCTGGATCAATGAAGTGCTGGGAAGAAGCCTGCCTACCTGCCTTCCAGGTACCTCACCCTCCAAATCCTGCATTAGAGTCTCCTATCCAAGGCCCCAGGGCCCCAGATCTGCCTTTTGGCTGTTGATAGAGAGTTGAGAAGGAAGATGTTTCAATTGTTCTTTAAAAGATGTCTTCAGAAAGTTAAAGGTCAGGGAATCCAGTCTCACACCTCAAACTAACCAGTGTCTACACTTGGCCTTGTCTGTCCCTCCAGGAACTCTTCTTTCGCTTCTCTGTCTCTTTCTCCCCAGGTTTTTCATGTAACACAATTTGTGTATGTACTAGGAACATCAAGAAAAATGTACCCTGTCCTCAGGTACTTACTAGGGTATCACAAGGATGACCACATGAGACAAAGAATGCATAATGCAGGACAGAGTAAGGAATTCTTCCAAAGAGCCCTATGCATGAGTTTTCCTGATTGTTGCCTTTTTCATGTTTTATCGACCAGCTCGACTTTAGAGAAATTTGTAGTAACCGAAAGTGTCACTATGCACATAGATTTTGGGACTATTTGCTTTAGAATTAAATGTCCAGATGCCTTACATTGCAATCACAGTGCATACATATTCAAATCAAATTTGAAAATTCTACCTCCAGACCATAGACTGTAGGGTTAAACAAATAGGCCACAAAAATCAATTTAATATGCAGAGTAACATATACATTTTGAAATTGAATCATTAAGAGCAACAGTACATAAACGATGCAGCCATTAAAGACAGCACTGACGAACACCGAAAAGTAACTGCCCTTTCTGGTTGCATGAGTATGTTGAGCCTTGCATTATGGCAAAGCATTGAGTGGCTTTTGTATATTACTGAAATATAGTACTGAGTAAACTGAGAGAGTGTATCACGTGAATGGCATATTTTAGTAACTTTCCATGTTCACTCAGTAGGCATCTAGAAGTAAGGTTAGACATCACAAAGGAAGGACTAAAAAGCTTTCTACCATTAATCCTTAAAAAGTAAAGAAAATGCTAGCATTTAGGGTCAGTTCCCAGCCATCACAAATGCAAAGGGACCCCAGACCAAGAAGTAACTGCACGGGGTAGTTCAGGAGTAAGGGGAAGAGCAGCAAGAAAGACTTTGCATAAGAATGTGGAGGTGGAAAAAGGAAAAGGTTATCCCACCTACACCCTGCGGATCTCATTACCTCAATTTGGCCTGGCCATGAGCATATGCAAGGACACCAGGTGGTGAAGCCTCAAGGAAGAGAGGAATGGTGTAGCTGTGGCAAACTAGGGGTTTGAGTTTGCGTGGTATAAAGAAAACTAGGGGTGATTCCACCCTGGGATGTCATGTGGTTCTGGGAACCTCTGGAAGGGGAAGACACACTGATGTTGCTGCTCACTAACTGTGATCACTAGTGAGTAAGTTTACCTCTCTGGGGCTGGGATTTCACGCCTCCAGAGTGACCAGGAAATCCATGGCTTTATAGAACTCTTAATATTCATCATCCTCTGTGTTTGTACAAAGCATCTTGGATAACATGAGTCATGAAATTCTTTGAACACTCAGAGCTGGGCAGAACCATGCTGTATCATTGGACCAAGATAGGAGTTTCCAAATTCTTTCCTCCTAAAAGATTAGGAAGGAACCAGGATGTAAGTCAGGATGGGGAAAGCCATTTTATCCAGCATCAAGATGCCCATCTTTTCAGGGGGAGCACTAAGCAAGTATTATTTGTGGCCATTGTTTTACAGATGTGAAAATGGAAGATCAGAATAGAGTAGTGATTTGTGTAAGGCGACAGCCAGAGGGTTAGTGGCAGAACTGGGATATGAACCCAAGACTTTTGATGTCAACCCAAGTAATACTGAGCTTGCTTACACTCTGGGCATATTTTATGCCACCCTCATGCACTCAGAATCTAGAGGACCACATGTTTGCTTTAGGGGCCTTCCCTCAGTAACCACTGTCTTTTAGAAACTAAGTCTGGTTCCAGCATAGCTCAAGCTACAACATTTCAAAAATATTCCATTGTCCCAGGGAAAGCTGCGAGCTAATAAAAATGGCCCCATTTCAGCTGAGCATCATAGCATACACCTACCCAAAAACAAGGAAAGAAAAAAGAATGACCCCCATTTCAATGAGCTCTCCTAAAGATATGCTGTATCATTCAGACTCTAGGAAAGATAACAGCATGTCAGGAAGGAAAATGCATTTGGGTGGGGAAATGAAGCTAGAGTCAATAGGTTCAACTTCTTTCTCTGCACTAATAACTTTGAGTGAGTCACTGACCATCTCTCAATCTATTTCTCATCTGTAAATTAGCCAGTCTCTGTGGTTCCTCTGGGTCTAAACCTTATGAGACCTGGAGTATACCACTCACACCTGGATGGAGGAAGGCACATTCACTTCTGACCATGTCGTAATCATGGACTGAGCTAGCAACACGTCCCTTACCAGATAAAGGTCATTCCGTGTTAAGTGAGTTATTATTTAAGCTCAGTCACAGATTACCTTGAGGTGTCATTTTGAAAGCTGCTAGTGGCTAGCTCTTAACTTTAGAAGTCCAGGCCACGGAGAATTACAAAAACCCATCCACATGTGACCTGGGGTGAAAGACAGGGTACCCTGGGATCGCGCAAGAGATATTTGGCATCAGGAACAAGAGCATCTGAAAAGCATTAAATTTTGAAAGCCTGCCTCCCAAAGTTGCCAAAAAAACTCAAATGTTCCTTGGTCTCTGAAGGACTATTTAAAGTCTCCAGAACCAAAGAGTGTATCATGGCTAATTGCAACAAGCAAGAAACCCAGACTCGCACCACACTTACCTCCCAGGCTCAAGCACCTTGCCTGGGAAGGGTCATTCCAGCTCATTCTTAGCCAGTGGGGGCCTGGTACTGAAGACCCTCTGCCGTGGGCCAGAGGTATTTGGCTGCAGGAAGCTGGTGGTGCATGTGCATGCTCGGGTGAAGCTCAGTGAAACGAAGTTTGCTCAGACCCTTCTTCTTCCCTTGAAGGTACTACAGGGCTCCTGGGTGCAATGATGCCTGGTCCTGAGCAGGGCCCATGCATCATTGCTTGTGGATTATGCCACCTCTCCCCTACCTTGTATGTCCTGGACCTTAATCCATAGGCATCAAAGTCTTTTAGGCCAGAGAAAAAAGGATTTGATGGTACTTCGTCATGGTCTTAATCTGTAACAAGGCAATATGGAATACAGTAAAAGACATGTCTTAGAATCTAGTGAAAGCCCTGCTACTCAAGTCACCTTAAACAGGTCTCTTAAGTTCTGGAAGGTGTTATAAAGTCACTAGGGATAACCAAAGCAAATGAAATAAAAATCAAAGGAATTTGAAATCTGAAGGATCCTTGGAGATTATCTTGACCAACTGGTGCATTTGACAGATCAAAACTTGAAATCCAAAGAGGGAAAGTACTGACTCAGAGTCACATGGGCAATAGAAAAGCCAAGCCAAGGCTCCAGGTCTCTTGTTACACAGTCGAATATATGCTGCAACCTGCCAGATTGTTTCTTAATTTCTTTCCATCTCTCTAAGCCAGTGACATGGGGAGAAGAGTTCTCTGGGTGTCCATATCATGGAAGAATTCTGAGATATAAGATTTCTTCCAAGGGAAGAAAACAGAGATGTGGCCATTGTGAGGGTTGGACTTGGCTTTGGATAATCCAGGCCCAAAGTGTTCTTAGCCATATGTGATTGGAGGTGGAGAAAGCCCAAGCATGAAATGATGTAGTCTAGAGATAGCTCCAGCTCCAGCTGGAAGTGGGCCATCCTGGAGAGACTGCAACCCAAACTGACCAAGGGCAGAGCTCCCCAGGCTAGCTGACTGAGGCTGGTAAGGGCCCCATGGTGGCATAATCGACAGTGAGTGACATGGGAATTTCTCTTAGTGTCTCTTTTCATGTACCTGCCATAACCAGTCTGTCTCTTGTCCCCAATCTCTCTTTCTTCTCACAGTGTGTGGGCAGCCCTCCCGGTCTCTGCCAAACCTGGTCAAGCGGATTATTGGAGGCCGGAATGCAGAGCCTGGCCTCTTTCCGTGGCAGGCCCTAATAGTGGTAGAAGACACCTCACGAGTGCCGAACAACAAGTGGTTTGGGAGTGGGGCCCTACTCTCTGAGTCCTGGATCCTCACAGCAGCTCACGTGCTGCGGTCCCAGCGCAGGGGAAACACAGTGGTCCCGGTCTCCAAGGAGCACATCACTGTCTACCTGGGCCTACACGACGTAAGGGACAAATCAGGTGCTGTCAACAGCTCAGCCGCCCGAGTGGTTCTCCACCCAGATTTCAACATCCAGAACTACAACCATGACATAGCTTTGGTGCAGCTGCAGGAGCCGGTGCCCCTGGGACCACACGTCATGCCTGTCTGCTTGCCAAGTCCAGAGCCTGAAGGTCCAGCCCCCCACATGCTGGGACTGGTGGCTGGCTGGGGCATCTCCAGTCCCAATGTGACGGTGGATGACATCATCAGTAGTGGCACACGGACCTTGTCAGATATCTTGCAGTATGTCAAATTACCCGTGGTGCCACACACCGAGTGTAAAGCCAGCTATGAGTCTCGCTCAGGAAACTACAGTGTCACAGAGAACATGTTCTGTGCTGGCTTCTATGAGGGTGGCAAGGACACATGCCTTGGAGACAGTGGTGGGGCCTTTGTCATCCTTGATGACTTGAGCCAGCACTGGGTGGCCCAAGGCCTGGTGTCCTGGGGGGGCCCTGAAGAGTGCGGCAGCAAGCAGGTGTATGGAGTGTACACGAAGGTCTCTAACTATGTGGACTGGTTGTGGGAGCAGATGAGCTCCCCACAAGGTGCAGGGGAGCTCCAGGTGGAGCGGTGAACTGAATTCTTTCCTTGGGGCCTGCTTACCCTGCCCCAGCCAAGGGAGGCTATACCCGCACATCCAAAAGCACACTCCATGTTACTTGGAAAACCAAATAAAGTGGAATACACTGCCCTAGTGGGGCACTCATTCTCCCAGGAGAGGCCTCAGGACCCTAAGAGGAAGTGTGTGGTCTAAGGAAAACTTCTG